CCACCCCCCCCCCCCCCCATTACATTTATTTTCATTCCCTTACAAGAGACTTTCCTAATTTGCCCCCACCCCATTACATAATATTTCCCAAATAACCCCTATACAACTAACTGACTGAAACTGAATCAGCTGCTGCCTCCTACTCTTTTCTTCTTCTTGCGTAGGTGAACTTAACCGGGGGTCTAACATATTGACATTGTTGTCACTTGATTCTTAACTTACTTTTCTTGACAGTCGTATCTCCAATTTTTTATTTTGTAGCATATTGTAACCAAGCAGACCAGGGAATTAAGCAGGTCATTCTTGTCATTCAGTCACTCAGTCCAGCCAAACACGCCTGCTATTCCTAGTCATATAACCAAGCTGGCCAATAACAGACATTTATATTGAACAAAATGGAATGAAATTGGAACTACCAAAGGAAGTTTAAGCATGTCAGTCATAAAATCAATAAAAAAAAATGTTGTCTTGTATATAAACTATGCACAAACTATAATTTCATGATCTCTTTAGCAACTCTACCAGTTCACCCTTTTTAAGTTTAGAATAACCCCTGATTCCTTTAGATTTTGCCACTTCTTTTAATTCAACAAGTTTCATTCCCTCAAACTTCTTGGATATTATCTCGGTGTCGACATCCATGGTAGGCAATACTTCACTCTTCAGATCAACTTTGTTTCTTGGGCTTGACGGTGATGGTATTGGGGACCTCTTCGTGAAATTTGACGGTGGCCTGCTCGACCTTGCGTCCTTCTCTGATGAATATTCTGCTTTCTGTTCTTTCTTTTGCAAACCTTTCCCTGAAGCCACCAGTTTATTCCCTTGCTTCCTTGCAGTTTTCCCTGTCCGAAACCAGAAATTTCAGAGAAATAAAGAATACTCAATAATCGACACGAAACTCCCTTGGCGTAGTGTTAGGACAATAGATGTAAACAACAAAGTTATTATGAAGATCAAAGAGGTTCAAAAACCATCTCTTTTCTTGTACAAGAATTTACTAAGGGGAAGTGTATGTTAAGTGCATGTTTGGTATCTTAGGAAGCGTAGGTTTAAACAAGATTATGACTTTTTTGGGTGCCTGAGCATCTCTAGAGCTCCTAGCCGAAATGAGGCATGTGATAATTACCATTTGTCACGTTATGTCCGATTCGGTGTACCAAACATGCCATAGCATTCTATAGATTAAAGTGCATGTTTGGTGTCGTACTAGAAACCTTGTATTGTTGCAACCTTTTAAAATATCTTCTTGTTTTTTGCATTTTATGCTGTCATCCTTGTTCTTAGAAATCAACTTACAGAGTTGATGTAATCGAAAGTTGCACAGGCAAAATGAAAAGAAAACTGTTTCTCTCTCAAATAAATTGTCTCAACACAATGAAAGAGCGACATTTTTACTTCACCTTTTCTTGTTGATTGATGAAGGACCTCCAGAAGCGATTCAGCTGACACATCTTCAGCTTGCTTTGAATTTCTATTCCTGGATTTTATGGTCTCTCCTTTGGAGATCGAGGACTGAATCCGCTTAAAGAGAGCTAGGATCTCTTCCTTGTTGGATGTTTTCTTCTCGGTCTCCATTGATTCAGAATTCTTTTTCCACTCTCCTTTTGGTGCCCTTCCAGGGACAGGGTTCCCATCAGCCCTTGTGCTTGAAACAGCTAAATTAAGAAGCTCCCTTCGGGAGATGAACACTGAATCCCTATCTGCTAATTCTGCCAAATTGAACAAGCTGCATCACCAAAATGTACCTCAGTTTGAAGTCACTAATGTTGCACCCCAAGTACTAACGAAACACCATACATTTTTCTCATCCCAACACCTTAAACTTCGTATAACATGATACGAGGGGACATAAATGTCCAGTAATCAAGTCTTGTTGTCGCACGTCGCGCATAGGGAACATATTAAATTCTTCATTTCTAACAGTTTAAGCTTTCATTAACGACTATGTTTTCATTCAACAAATATGAATATAGAAAAACGGAACAAAAGATGAACCAACAAATATGGGCAATGAAACATCAATTAGATACCTAAATGACAATCATGAATTTGGCCAATATGAGCACTGATATCAAATAGGCAAAGAAAAAAAGCTCATCACAGAAATAAATGACCAGGAACTGAAAGGGAAAATTTTGAACCAGATGAGAATGCAAGTTCGTACCATTGAAAGAGAAAATTGGGTTTCTGAACTTGAGTCCGCTGAAGGCAGAGAAATGATTATAGCAGACAGCTCCTCCACCCATATTTTCTTGATCAAAGTCTCGAGTAAATATCAAAGGCGATGAGATAAGATGAAACAAAAATACACTGACCTCAGAATTCTATTCTTGTCAGTGCACATCCTA